CTGGTGAACCGTTCTTGCTCCTCTAGTTGTGCTCTAACAGTGTGCAGTTAGCACTCGGGGCCTGTGGTTCCTGTGTGAGTAGCTCACACGTAGAAGGTGTCCACCCTCATAGACAGTCCCAACCGGCAGATGGTCACAGAGCCGGAAACAACAGCGCTGAAGAGAAAGGGCTAGCTCAAGGCCCCACATCAGCTCAAGGGCAGTGACTCCCTCCCTGCGGATGCTTTAGGGTCAAAAGGAGACAGAGCTGCAGACGTTTCTCCTGGTGTAGGGTCTGAAGGATGCTAGGTGGTAGTTATGTGTGGGCCAAAGCAAGGGTAGCTGGCGCCACACAAGCCTCCAAGGTAACTGTATGCACCAAGTGCTGAGTCTATGCCAAGGACCTGACAGCCTGTGAGGTAAATCCAGTTACAAACTCGATTTTTACTTAATTAACTTGTGTGTGTGTGTATTTGTGTACTTACATATGTGTGTGGTGTGTGTGTGTATATGTATGTATATGTTTGTGTGGTGAGTGTGTGTGTGTGTGTGTGTGTGCCCTGCCAGCAGGAGCACAGAATGAGTGTGATACCGGAGGCACCTCAGGGCAGTTGGTACTGCAGGCTTCTCCAGGACAGTCTGGACTCCTGTTCCACAGTAAGTGACAGCTATTTTCCGCAGTCCCCACAGAAGCCCACCAAAGAGCCCCCAGGTGCTTGTGCTCTGTGCCCTGGTTTCTGCTGGCCCAGATCCACGCACAGGTGTGTGAAATGCCACCTCTCTCTCAAGTGGAAAGAACAGTCCGATAGCTTCTTGACTCCTTCAGGTGCCGCATACCCACAGTCCAGCAAGGTCGAGGTCAAAGTTGCTGTGCCCTCAAAGGATAAGGCTCCTGCTTCCTGGAAATGCTTGAAAGAGCTGCGCGCTGCCGCGGCTGGGCGCCCCGGTAGGCTTGGCACAGGAGACCACGCACATTGCCCGGGAGGCTCAGCAACAGGTCTCCTGACAGTATCGCTGACGTCATCGGCCCCATTCGACAGGATGGAGTGGGCTCAGAGAGGTGGGATAATTCGCTCAGAGACACAGCCTGAAAGTCGAAAAGATGGAGAGAGCGTGGTCGTGCTGCGTGCCTGGCATCCCAGCGCTCGGGAAACTGAAGCAGGAGAGTTCTGAGCCAATCTGGGTCACAGAGTGAAACCGTTTCTAAAACCAAGGGGGCCAGGCAGGGGCTGGAGAGATGGCCCATATGTGAAAAAGCACCATCCCTTCTTCCAAAGGACGCAGGGTTGATTCCCAATGCCCACATGGCTTCTTCTGGCCTCTGCAGGCACCAGGCATGCACGCGGCACACTCCCATCCAAACAGGCAAAATACCTCCACATACAAAATAAAAATAAGACAAAAACATAATTAAACAGAAGGAGGGGGCTGGGAAGAGGACTCAGTGAACAAAGGGCTTGCATGCAAGCAGGAGGACCAGTGTTCAAGTCCCAGACCTCACTCCATGCTGGTGGGCACTACAGCCCTCCTGCAATCCACAGGGGGTAGGAGAAAAGGGAGCTCTGCCACTCAGCAACCTGGCTAGCCAGGCCAGCCTGAATCGGTGAGCTCTGGGCTCGACTGAGAGACCCTGACCCAATAAAAATGGAGAGAGATGGAGGGAGCCGGCATGTCAGCCCCAGGCTTTCATACACAAGTGTGCAGCTATACACACGGACGTGCCCACTCATATGAGCACGCGCACGCACACACACACACACACACACACACACACACACACCTACACGGGAGTGGTGGTGTCACATGGCTGTGGTCCCAGCTCATGGTGGGGCCTCCATCTTCAAAACAAAGCAGAACACTTACATACGCTATCTTTAATGTTCGTTGTATATTAGTGAACATTAGTGAAAAAAGAAACATATAGCATATGCAGGCAGAACTAGGGAAGACAGCAGAATAAACTCATGACTTTTTTTCTTCATTTTTCTCTAAGTTGAATTTTTTTTTTCTCTTTTAAACAGGGTCTCATGTATCTCGGGGTGACCTTAAACTTGGAGCCGAGGGTGACCTTTAACTTCTGATCTTCCTGTTTCCACCTCTTACATTCTAGACTAATGGGATTCACCATTACACCCAGTTATGGGATTCGTGTGAGGGGAGCACTCTTCCAGTGGAACGACTCCTCTGGCTGTGTGTGTGTGTGTGTGTGTGTGTATGAGGGTGGGGTGAGGAGGATGAAGGGAGGGAGGTAGCATGCTTGTGTACCACAGCACACAAGGTCGGAACCTTCTGGAGTTGGTTCTCTCCTTCCACCTTGTTTGGAGGCACAGTTTCTCACTGCTTCTGCCACCCTGAGAGTCTGTCTCTGCCACTCACCTTGAGGTCGGAGTGCGGGGATCACAGCACGTGTCTACGGTAGAACTCAGGCTCGCACACACACGCTGCTACCTTCTGGGCTACCTTGCCAGCCCTATCTCTTGCACTTCTATTGAACATTTGTGTGCGTGTGTGTGTACCTGTTCGTCTGTGCGCCGGCTGCACGAAGGAGCCCCTGGAGGCCAGAAGAGGGTGTCGAATGCTCCGGAACTGGAGAGAGAGGAGGTTGTGAGATGCACTGAGGTTGCTGGGAACTGAACCTGGTCCTCTGTCAGAGCAGCCAGCTCTTAACCACCAGGCCGCCTCTCCAGCCCTTTATTAAATATTTTTGTCTCAGTCAGTGAAGAGACACCATGACCTTGGCAACTCTTATAAAGGAGAGCATTTAACTGGGGCTGGCTTACAGTTTCAGAGGTTTAGTCCATTGTAATCCTGGCAGGAAGCATGGCCGCCTGCAGGCAGACACGGTGCTGGAGAGGGAGCTCAGAGTTCTACATCTGGATCTGCAGGCGACCAGGAAGAAAGAGAGGGAGAAAGACTGGGCGTGGCTTGGGCTTTTGATCCCCCCAAAGCCCACCCCAGGGCCACACCTCCTCCAACAAGGCCACACCTCCTAATCCCTTTAAATGGTGCCACTCCCTGGTGATTAGGCATCTAAATATATGAGCCTATGGGGCCATTCTTATTCAAACCAGCATAATTTTATTGTTTTGTTTTTGTATTTGTTGCTGATTGACAGCATAACGACAGGTTCTCTTCATGTTGCTCTGGCTGTCTTGGAACTCACCATGAAGACTGGGCCTCTAACTCACAGAGATCTACCTGCTTCTGCCTCCAGTGTTCAGCGCACTTGGCTAAGTAGGGCTATTTTTATTTTATGTGTGTGATGTGCCCTTGGAGGCCAGAAGAGGGCATTTACAGGCAACAGTGTAAACTCCCATATGGGTGCTGGGAGCGGAACCCAGGTCCTCTGTAAGATGGACAGTGCCCTTGAACACTGAGTTATCTCTCCATGCCCTCACAAGAACCTTTTTATTGTGTGTGTGTTGGGGGGGGGGGGGAATCATCTTCACTTGTTTTAGGTTGATGATTCAATAGTGTTAAGCATATTCGCATTGTTACAATTTTCAGCCTGCACCTCTGGAATGATGAACAACACTTTCTTGTCTCATAACCATTGCTAGCTATTATTATTATTATCATGGAAAGGTTTTTGTTTGTTTGTTTTTGTGAATCTGGGGAATGAACCCCGGAGCCCCACATGCTAGAGGCTAGGCGGGCCTTCAGGCACCGAGTTGTAGCCCCAGCTTCATTGTTGTAATTTCTTTCAGCAAATTTGATCAAGAGTCTTCATATTATCACCCTACCAAATAGGCTAGACCCCAGCCCAGCCACATGGCTTGACATTCCCATGAGTAACAAAGGTCCTGTGCTCAGCCTGTTGTTCTTCTGTCTTCCTCTGTTCTTTCCTGGCTTTTTCCCCCTTTCTGTGCTTGGTCAAGAAGCTGGAGGCTTCTTGGGTCTTAGTTGGGTCAAGTGGAAAAATCAGGACCATTCCCAGGATGAAAACAGGACAACAGTGGTGAAGAATTTAAAAACGTGTGTTCTGTGTGTTGCCATGGAGAACTTTTGCACGGGTTCTAGGCATCTTAACTCAGGTCAGCACAACAGCAACCTTTACTCGTTGACCTAGCCAAATCATTTAACGTTTTAAAGCTTTTGTTTGGGCAAACGAGATGGTTTACGGAGTAAAAGCACTTGACACATGAGCCCCAATGATGTTAGTTTAACCACTCTAAACCACAGTGGAAGTTCAGAACAAATCAAAAAGGTTGTTTCGTAGACAGACTCTTTAATAGGTAGACCAGGTTGGCTTTGAACTCAGAGCTCTGACTACCTCCGTCTCCTGAGGGTGGGAATCAGAGATGTGTACCACCACGCCCCAAACATAAAATCTCTCTTTGAGGTGTGTGTGTGTATGTGTGTGTGTTGAGACAAGACTTGTGTAGCTCTGGCTGGCTTGGGACTCATTACGTGGCCCAGAGCCACCTTGAGTTTGCAGGGATTCTCCTGTCGCAGCCTGAGTACTGGAACTGCAGTCACAGATGAACCGTTCTGCCTGGCTCTTTCCTATTGTTTTCTGTAAGCCAAGGTTTCACTATGGAGGTGCACTAGGTTGGAATTTATAATTCTTTTGCCTCATGATTACAGGCACACACCACACCGGGAGAGTATGAGTCATCAAGCTTTTTTCATTACTTTCACTGTGTGTGTGTGTGTGTGTGTGCGCGCGCGCGCACCCACGTATGCACACGAGTAGAAGCATGTGTGTCGAGGCCAGAGGACAGTTTCGGGAGTCAGTCTCTTCTACCCCGTGGGACCTAGGGATCAAGTGTAGGTCAACAGGCTTAAGCACCTTCACCCCCAGCCGTCCTGCCGGCCCTTGAGTCATCATCTAGAAGATTCTTGCGGTGAGGATTGAGTTTAGAGCCTGGTGCATGTTGGCCAGGCCTGCTGCCCCTGAGTGACAGTCCCCTCTCCCTGCTAAGTCCACTTCATGTCAGCTTGACCGAGAGGAAGGGGTACAGCCGTAATGCAGCTCACACCTCAAACAGGACACACGCAGACTTAAGCTCAGCACCGTTTTCAAATAATTTATTAGGAACTTAAAACAAAATAAAACCTGGAAAAAGAAGTTACAGATGTGGAGAGAAGAGACACAGAGGGTGGAACTTGCTGGCTTCAAAACACCATGTAACATCTTTAAAAAATTTTTTTTTTCTCAAATAAATCAGAAAATGGAATTCCAGGTCCCTGAACCCACCGTCAGGCCCAGTGGGGTAAGAGAGTCCAGGGATTTGGGGGGGGGAAAAAGGAAGCTAAGTCTTCTGAAGCTTGGATGTGTAGAAAATTAAAGATAAAAACCAATAAAATGCAGCTTCTCTTTTATTAGGAAATATTAAAAACAAAAAACCCACAACAAACGCAAACAGCCGCGTATCTCGGTGACAAAGATTATTGCTTTGAGTTCTCAGGGCTTATAGGTTGAGTGAGCGCCTGAAACGGACAGTTAACTCTCCAGAGGGGGCTTCAAGGCTCGGGCTCTGCTGGGAAAGGGAGCCTACGCCCCCAGCGTCGGGCTCGGGTGCAGAAGGACAGAAGGGATGACAGCAGGTCCGCTCAGCCCCGCCACGCCGGCAAGGTCTACTTCATGTTCACACCCGAAGCCCTTCTCTTTTCTCTGAAAGGGCTCAAGGGTAGGAGGCTACCAAGGGCTCTGGTCGCGGGACGATCCTGGTGGGAAACTTCAGTGAGAATGTGGGGGTTCCCTGAGAAGCCCTTTGCTGAAGCGCTCCCCGATGCCCACCCACGGTTGGGGAGGGGCTCAGAGCAGAAACCACGAAGGTCCCACCTAGGCAGGGGCCAGGAGGGACCTTTGGAGAGCTAAATCCTTCCCAGCAGTGGCTTAGGCCCAGCCCTCCTCTTCCCTGGCCCCTTGCCCCCACACTGGGGATTTTTTGGGGAGAGTAGGCCCAAGGCCTTGAACCCGGGCGGGAGGGGAGGGGGCCTGAGAGTGTGGGCCTGCTGTGGCCAGAGCTGAGGTCTGCAAGCTTACAGTAATGGTGTCTGAGGAGGAGGGGACAGAGACAGGGAGGGGTGGGGACCTTTGCCCTGTGGGGTCAGGCAATGCCAGCACCCGAAAGGGTCTTAGAGAGGGATGGGGGTAGGGCTTCACCTCACAGTATTTACATATGATACAGGACGGGATGGTTCCAGGGGCTCGGCCTGGCCTACCCCGCAGCCCTGCCCTCCTCTCCAGGGCTAAAGGGAGGTGGCCAGGAGCCCACACCCACACAGACAATCAGCTGGTGGGGTGGGGGGCGCCTGGCCCCTTGACCCCTGTGGCCTGGGGCTTCACATTCACAAACCTAGAAATAGTTTAAAAACAGTTTCTTAAAAAAAAAAAAAAGCTAAAGAGGGAAAAGCCAGAATTAAAAAAAAAAAAAAAAAAAGGGTTGGGGCTGCGGCCTGTAGCAGGCTCCCTCTGCCCTCACTCTAGCTATGCACAAATACAAAGCCTTCTTGGGGGTGTTCTAAAGGGGGCGGCAGGGAGGGATGGGGCAGTCCCGAGAGGGGGAATCTGGTTGGGGTGGGGAGGGAACCGGCTAATCCAAAATAAATAAAAGCGAACAGGAAGAGAGGCAGGTGGGGAGAGGGGGCTAGGTCAGAACAGGGGAGTTAGTAGGGGAGCCAGATGTGGGGGACAGCAGGGCAGGGGCTGGGCCCAGGGTTGGGGGACAGGCAGTAGCGGTCAGAGTTGCAGCGGAGGGGCTGGGCTGCTGCGGCTGAGGGTCCCTGTCCCTTCGCTGGCTCACTCTGGTCCTCAGTCAGCTGCAGGCCGGGGCGCTGAAAGATAATAGCAAAGTGTAGGGGTTCTGACCTCTCTGGGACCCACAGAACAGGCAGGTCCCACCCCGATCCCTTCCTGGAGGAATTTTATCTCATCTGTTTGCCTTATTCTTGCATTTTTAAAGATTTTATGACTATGCTCTGAACTATGTTTATGACCTCCTGAGGTCAACCTGTTCTACACAGCAAGTTCCAGGCCCGCCATGACCACACAGTGTGACTCTGCCTCAAAAAAAAAAAGTGTTCACGTGTGTGCGCACGGGGCAGGGGCCTACGGAGGGGAGACAGCACTGTTAAAGACTCCCAGGAGCTGGGGTTACAGGGGGTTGTGAGGCACCTGATGTGAATTCAGGCCCTCTGCAGGAGTGGTATGCGTTCTCAACCACGGGACCGTCTCTCCAGAATCCTATTTTTTTTAAATTTATTTATTTATTATGCCATGTATACAGTATTCTGTCTGCATGCCAGAAGAGGGCATCAGATCACATTATAGATGGTTATAAGCCACCATGTGGTTGCTGGGAACTGAACTCAGGACCTCTGGAAGAACAGCCAGCAGAAGCGCTCTTAACCTCTGAGCCATCTCTCCAGTACCCCCAAGAATCCTATTTTTAAAGATCTACTGTGCATATTACGGGCTAGCCTCAAACCTGTGGCCTTTCTCTATCAGCCTTGAGTGCTGGCATTATACGAATAAGCCATATAAGCCTAACTCACATCCTTTTTTCTTTTTTGGTTTTTGGAGACAGGGTCTCTCTGTGTAGCCCAGGCTGTCCTTGAACTCACAGAGATCCACTTGCCTCTGCTTCACATAGGCTTGGATTAAAGGCCTGCACCCCCACTGCCCAGCCTTATATCCTATTTTAATAGATGTGTAATTTTCTATTATAAGCATATATCTGTCTAGCTACTTAAAAAAAAAATTAGGGGTGCAGCCCTGGATGGTTTAGAACTTGCTGTGTAGCTAGGATGGCCTTGAACTCACAGGGATCCACCTGCCTCTGCCTTCTGGGTGCTGGAATGAGAGAAATGATCCATCATGTCAGCAAATTTATAGTTTTTAGAAGCAGTTATTACTGAGTCAAAGAATCTGAATGTTTAGAAACCTGGCCAGAGCAGAGGCCCAGTGGTTAAGAGCACTTGCTGCAGAGAACCTGGATTTGGTTCCAGGTGGCTTACAGCTGCTACTAACTCCAGCTGCTGAGGCTCTGATGCCCTCTTCTGGCTGCGTCGGTACCGTGCGTGTGAGTGCACACACACATGCACACCCAGCAAGCATACATATAAGCAGGCAAAATACTCATACACGTATGATAAATTTAAACAAAAACAAACCTGGCGCTGTAACTCAGTGTGGATCATGTTAGGCTCTCACAAGTCCTGGGTTCAGTCCCAGCCCAAATTAAAAATCTCCATGAAGGACCATCCCTTGGGGACTTGGGAACCAGTTTACACAGAGACTAATGTTGGGCGTCATCAACTATAAAAAACTCATTGTCAGACAATGAAATATGATTAATTTATATTTAATTTATATATTTTGTTATATTAATTTACATTTGGTTTCTTTCCTTTTTTTTTTTTTTTTTTTTGCTTTTGTTTTGTTTGTCTGCTTGATTTTGGTTTTTCGGGACAGGGTTTCTCTGTGTAGCCTTGGCTGTCCTGGAACTCACTCTGTAGACTAGGCTGGCCTCGAACTCAGAGATCCACCTACCTTTGCCTGCCTAGTGCTGGAATTAAAGGCACACACTCCCATCACCTGGCTAATATTTAGTTTCTTGGAACAGGGTCTTGTTATGCATATCAGGCTGACCTGCAGCTTGCTTTGTGGCCCAGTCTGGCTTTGAACTTGTAACCTTCCTGCCTCCGCATCCCCTGTGCTGGGCAAATTTGTAAATGTTGTTTGTATAGATGTGTGCGTGGTGTATGCACGTGTGTGTGTGAGGATGTGAGAGCACCTGTGTGCCATGCGGAGGCCAGAGGTTGATGGCAACTGTCTTCTCCACTTGTACTTTTTGAGACAAGGACTCTCAAGGCTAGGAAGGCTGGTTAATGTGCTTCGGGGACCTTTCTGTCAGTGCTGGGGTCCCAGGCATGGGCCAGCCTGCTCATCTTTTTATGTGGGTTTTAGGGATCTGAACTCAGGTTTCCACGTTTGCTCAGCAGGTCCTTTAACAAGCCAGACACCTCCCCAGCTCTCCTTTTGAGACACAGTCTCACTATGTAGCCCTAGCTGGCTTAGAACTCAGAGTAATCCTCCTGCCTCGGCCTCAGATAGGCACGTGCCACGTGCCTGGTTAATTTAAGGCAAACTGTGGCAGGCTAAGTGACTTCTTTTGTGTTTGTTGGCCACTGCCAGCATCTGGGCTGTGGCCTGCAGTGGGCTGTGAGCTCTATGGGGCTGGCATTCACAACAGCACAGCCAAGGATCAGCCTCCCAATGCCTCCCACCCCTCTCCATCTCCTCACCTCCTGCCACCTCTCCCCTGCTTCAGTGGTACCCATTGGTGAAGGCTGTGGCAATCAAGGGACCCTGAAAAGAAAATAATTAGACTCCTAGGATCCTAGAGCAAGTTCAGACAAAATGGGGGCTCCTGCTATTCCTGTGGGACTCCTTTGGTGAGACAAAGGTTCTTCTAGCGGGCATGCCTTGCCCTGACACAGATCTGCTCATGGGCAAGGCAGGGCCTGGGAACCTGCATAGAGCTAGTTCCCTGGATAAAACTGGGACACTCCTGAGCCGGACTCTGACCACACGGAAAGGAGATGGTTATCTCATATGTGGAACATCTTGGAGCCACTGGGCAGTGTCCAGATTATTAGAGGACACCCTCTTGTCCCCATGGATACTTCTTCCCCGTCATCCTCCCTCAACCCCACCTCTGCCCAAGGAGAGAGGCAAGGCCTCTCCCTTCCCAGTTTCAGAGATCTCCCGGAATGAAAGGGTGATGTGGAGGAGGCCTGGCCACTCACCCCAAGACTGTGGCCGAAACCAGTGCTGGGGGCGGGGCTGGCGGCGCTGATGTAACTGCTGACCCCCGAGTCCTGGTTGGCTGCCCCGTAGAGCTCAGCCATGGGGCCCGGGCTTGTGGTCCCCAGGAAGCCCCCTGTGCGACTGGGAGTAGAACCTGGAGGGGGAGCCATCGTCCAGGGGTGAGAGCCTGGCAACCCAGAAAGAAGACAGTCATAGCCCAGGTGCCCAAACCCTCGCCCTGGGCCCTCCCACCCCCGCCCTGGAGATCCGGCTAGACCTTCCTCCCCGACCCCCACCATGTCGTGTCTGATCACTGGACAGCCTCCTCTCCCTGTGGGCCCCTTCAAGTTTTCCTCTGCCTTGTAGCCCAGTGCATTTCTTAAGGCTGGCCTGTCACTGCTGCTTGAAACTCCGGTTTCCCTGTTCCTGTAACTGACCTGTGCAAACTAGCTGTTCCCTCGGCTGGAACAGCCCTTGTTCCTTCTTTTAGCCTTCTCCCATAAGCCTCTCCTAGGCCTTGCCTAAAGCGGCGGCTGGGACATCTAGCACCTGAAGTCCCCAGAGCCACAGCGGCTGCCTGCAGGGTCACGGTCCTCCGCACACTGACACCCCACAGCTTGTGTGCCACCCTTGTCTGGCTGGTGCACCCAACTCAGTCAGCACTTGGCTAATAAACGAACCCCTTTGTCAGTGGGTGGAGAGGGAGCCTCTCCTTCCTTCTGGATTCCTCCACCCCCTCCACGAGCTCCCTTCCCAGAAGGCCTCACCTGTCCCTCGAACTACAGCCGCTGCCGCCGCTGCCGCTGCCATCGGACCATAAGCAGTGAGAGGGATAGCTAGAAGGACAAAGTGTGGACACTGAGCAGGAGGGAGAGGGGCCGAAGAGAGAGGACTCTACCGTCTGGCAGAGCTTCTCCCACCTGGCATGGAGAGCGGACATCCATGTGTCCACCCAGCGTCAGAAAGCAGACAGCGTGGACAGCCATCCTGAGCCCTGACCTAATGCAGCCCTGCCTCAGTTTCCTGCTGGGCCCTAGAACACACCTGGGTAACCCGCATGAGGAAACCAGTCCTGACCTGCTCTGGATGAGACAGTACCTTTTCCACAGGGCCCTGGCGGGGCAGTCAGGATAGCCTGGACAGTAATGTTCCTTTCCCCAGCCAGTTGCTGACTGGCCCAGGGCACAGAGGCTGGGCTCTTTAACTCAAGGCCGAGGACTGATAGCTACAGGGCTCCCCTGGGGGTCAGGATGACGAGGTCCCTGCTCTGCTGTGTCCTGCATCCCTCCCTGACCACCAGGCGGCCCCTCTTCTGTCCTCCCCTCTTTGGACACGAGTCCTTGCTTTTCCCCTGTTGTCTTATCCATTTCCCTTGTATAGCTCTGGATACAGCAGGTACTTTAATGAATGGCTGCACTAAAGGGCAAAAGACTTCTGCAGGGTTTTTGCTGTTGTTGTTTCTGGTTTTCTTTTTGAGACAAGGCCTTGTTATATAGCCCAGGCTGGTCTCAAACTCACTTCTAATTCTCCTGCCTCCAACTCACAAGTGCCAGGGTTAGAGGTGCAGACTGGTACTGTCCAGTGTTGGAGACTGGATGCAGGGCTTCCTGCAGATGAGGCAAGCTGTCTACCGGATAAACGCATCCCCAGTCCATCCCCTGAAAATCTGTAGCAAAGTCGTTGTACAAGGGATTTGAACCCAGGACTCTGGTTCCTGAGCTGTGGATTCGCCTTTCTGCCGACAACCGTTGGGCTGGCTTCTTCTCATTGAGCGTTCACCCCTCACCTTCTCCTTGTCCTTCCACCTGTATCAAGCCCTAAACACTCAGCTTTGTGCTTTATCTTCCCATGGAACGCCATTTACTTAATCCATCGGTCTCTGGCATACCAGCTCCTGGAAAGCCGGAGGCCTTATCTACTCATTTATATGTGCTCTCCCCTCTCAGGCCTGGCCAGGCATTGGCACAATAAATATGTACTGAACACATAAAAGAAACCCCCGAAGCTCTTTGTTCCAAGCCAAGGGAACAGTTTGACACTACACTCCCAGGAGCTGCAGAGGCTGGAGCCCATGCCCTCCCTTGCCAAGACACCTTTGCCATGACACTTCCTGACCCAGGCCTAGAGGGTAGACACTGGGCACTGAGGCCTGAAGGCTCTAGCCCCTCACAAAGCAAACTCTTAAGTAGCCAAACCTCACTGAGTACTTATCACAGTGTAAAGTTATTCTTGGCATAATAAATATTTGTTATCGTCACTAGCCTTCTTAGTAAGAGCCTGGGAAGTCCTGCTCCTTCTCCCCCTCAACCCCGTAGCCAGTGATGCAAACTCACACAGTAGGTCCTCATATAAAGGTCTTACATGAGGAAAAAGGAAGCTCCCCACCTACCTCCCCCCAGCCCCTGCTCCAAGTGCCAGGCCCTCCGAATGTCACAGTCACTATGTCCTCCACTACCGGACTCTGCTCCCTCCCCCTCCCCCTCCCCTTTCTTCACCCCATGGCTCTCTTCTCCTGCTCCCATTTTGACAGCACCTCGAGAGCACCCCTTGGAAGGAAGATGTGAAGCGGTTCCCCACACAGAGCCAGGCTGGGGGCGGAGTCTGCAGGCGGGCGGGGAGAAGCAGGTTGGACAGAGAAAGCCCTCATGGCCCACCTCATGTGCACACCGGTCCCCACTTGGCCTGGCCCGGCTTCACAGCCAAGCTGTTTCTGTTTCTCCCTCTTGGTCAAACACTTTGACCTCACTTTCCCAGAAGTAACCCATGGGCATCCCTAGGGTCAGATGGGAACATCAGATGCATGTCATTCGGCCCGAAGTATCTTGATAATTTGGGATGTGTTAGCAAGGCAGAATGAGGATTAAAAATTCTTATGGCAGGTAGAGCTAGCTTCCAGCTGCTCGGGAGGAATGAGGTGAACACTGCATCTGCGGCACCCCCCCCCAGAGCAGGCTGGCACCGGGTACAGGTGTGCCCGGTTCTGTGTACAAAGTCCCTCTCGGGCCACTGTGCTCTGAGTTCGGAAACCTGGACTGTTCACCACTGGGTACCAGAGCCTCCATGGTGCCTGGCACATGGGAGGCATTAGATAAATATTTGCCAAATAGATGAATGGGTGACTTTACCTCAATCTGCCCTGCTTGGCTCACGCCCCACCCTTGAGGGGCATGTAGCCGAAGCAAATGGCCAGGGCCCAGGCACAATCTGCCGCATCCTCACAGCCTCGGGGGGCTGGTGGGCAGGAGCAAAGGGTCTTGCCACCTTTACCCCGGGAAGGTCCCTCTCCCCTTCTTTCTCCCCACGTGGCCTATGAGATGTACAAAATCCGAGCCACTGACCTGTAAGCTCGGGGAGGACTGGGGCGCTCGGGAGAGGGGTCCGCTCTACACGGAATTCTAAAATGAAACGTAAAACAGCTTAGGAAATAGTAGGGGAGCCCCTCTGGCATGGCCCAGGGGGGAGAAATGCACCCACAGGGACCATGGGTGAGGGGACAGGCCATGCACGGGACTCAACTGGGAATGGGAAGTGCACAGACCCCACAGGTGAGGTGGGGCAGAGGGGTGACACAGAAGGACAGAGGACGAAAGGAAGGAAGGAGGAAGCCAGAGGCGCCATCTAAGCCTGGGCACAAAGCGATGCTGGCAGTGTGACTCCTGAGTCTTGGTGCTGAGAACTGAGCCCAGGGCTTTCCGCAAGCTAGAGAAGCACTGTATCACCGATCTGCACTCCAAGTCCTGTTTTCTGTTTTGTTTTTTTTGAGACAGGTTTTCTCTGTGTAGCTTTGGCTGTCCTGGAATCACTCTGTAGACCAGGCTGGCCTTGAACTCACAGAGATCCTCCCGCCTCTGCCTCCCCCATTTTAAACAAAGGTTTACTTATTTAATGTGTATGAGGGTTTTGCCTACAGTTATATATGCATACCTGTGCGTGCCTGGTGCCCTTGGAGTTCAGAAGAGGGTTTTAGATCCCGTGACTGAAGTTACAGACAGTTCCAAGACACCATATGGGTGCAGGGAATTGAACCCCAGACCTCTAGAAGAGCCAGTGCTCTTAACAGGGGTTAGCTCCTAGTCACACCGCTTCCCAGGTGAATCTTCGTAGCAGTCTTCTGCCCTCCCTGAGCAGTTTCTTAGTCTACAAAATGGGACCCCGGAGAGGGTTAAGCAGGGTGTGCGCTAAGGGCTCCAAGTGAAACAGCCCGAGGGCAGAGGATGCAAACGCTTAGTGACTCCTCCCGTATGTTAGACCCAAAGAGAATGCAGTGTAGCTCGGTGGTAGAGCACTTGCCTAGCATTCTTGAGGTCCTGGGTTCAATCCCCAGTAGTGGACAAAAATAGATATCTAGATAGATAGATAGATATCTAGATATCTAGATATCTAGATAGATAGATAGATAGATAGATAGATAGATAGATAGATAGATAGATAGGCAGATAATGACAGGGGCCCCAGGGTTACAGCTCAGCCAGCTGCATGTCTGCCCAGCACTTATGAGGCTCTGTTTCAATCCTAAGAACGCCATAGGGAAGACTCCTAATCAATCGCAGCACTGAAGGGGCGTGCACGGCTACGTGGTGAATTCAAGGCCAGCCTGGGCTGCAGGAGGCACTATTTCAGAGACGAATCAACATCCTAGGGCTGTACCGGTCTAGCATGTGTGAGGTCCTAAGCCCATTCCCAGCACCACACAAACAAACAAACAATATTAAACAGCAACAGGTCAGCTCAGGATTTTCTGCAGTTTCTGTTTAAATAACAAGTCTTGTGTTATCTTCATGCTGAGTTACAAATGACGATGTGAGTACTGCGGTTTTAGGGTTCTCAGGCTCTGCGACCTTGTAAGGACTCAGTACAGCAGACCTTTAAGCAGGTCTGTGAGGCTGTGACTCACAGTGGCCCTCGGGGAAAGCCCCCACCACAAGCACAGTGCTGTCGTTGATAGAAAGTGGCAATCCTGGAGCTGGGCAGGGATTCGAGAAAGTCAGAAGATAGGCAGAGAATGAATGGCCTGGGTGAAACCGCACCATGCAGGGCCACGTGAGGAGCCCCTCGTCTCAACTTCTTTGGGGTGGTCGGAGAAAGAGGTGGAAGAACTTCCTTCCTCAGACATGCCCTTCCTTTCAAGCATCTGGTAGGTAGAGCCTCCCCCACCCCTGCAAAGCCATGCACTCTAGCTAGCACCACCCCGAGGAGTCACACTGCCTGGGGACTGGGGACAGGCCAGTGGCCGAGGGCCACTCAGCGGGACTTACCGGGGAACTGGTAGGTGTAACCAGGAGCAAGGCCTGTGTAACTCCGGCTGGCATAGGTCGTGGCTTGGAAACCTGGGTAGCCTGCAGGGACAAAGGGGCAGTGTGAGAGGCCTTGCCCACAGCCGGGGCACGGCTGGCTTGGCTCTGAGCTGCTCAAGTCCTCCCCGCACGTCGGCACAGACAGTCCTCAGTGTTGCAGAAGCCCCTGTGCACCAAGCTCCTTCCTGAGCAAAGTTTCTGTCTTCTCTCGCTACACCTCCAAGTACTGCGGCAGGGAGGCACTGTGAGGGACCTCCAGGTACAGGCAGGGAAACGGAGGCACAGCAAGATGACACTGACCGAAAACAACGCAGCCCTGTTCCCCAATTCTTAACACGTTGGCTCCCACCTTCCTCCGGTCCTCGGCTTCTTCCTGCCTCTCCAGCCATACTAACTTGCTGCAGGGTTTGCAGAGTTCAGCCTAGGACCTTCGCACGCACCGTGACCTCTGCCTGTGCCATCTACGTGAGACCGCTGAGGCCTCGCTATGCCAGTGTCACACAGGCCTCCCCATGTGAGGACTTCTGCCAGAGGCTGCAGTTCCTGCCAGGTCACCTTATGAGCCCTGTAAGTGCTGACCTACCACCGGACGGAAAAACCCTCTGCTGGGGTTCAAGTTCAGATCTGGTCAGCCCCCAGGTTCTTCACCACCGGCCCCCTTCTTTCATTGCTTTTAGGTTTAGCGTGTGGGGTGCACGGGCGCGTATGCACGAGGGTTCTCGGAACCGGACGCCAGGTGTCCTTTCCCATCACTCTCTGCCTTACTTTACTGTGAGGCTGGGTCCCTCACTGAACCTAGAGCTCACTCACTGGTTAGAGTGGGTGACCAGCAAGGGCCCAGCCCCGAGGTTGCAGACACATGATTCCATGATACGCTGGTGATAAGGACGTCAAGTCGCCATGATTGTACAGCAGATGCTCCACCCACTGCGCCGCCTCCCCAGCACCCAGCCTCACTATTCATTATTAGGTTTTTTTCTTATGTTTTACTCGTTGGATATCACTTAAGCCAAAAACAACAGACAATAGGCAAAGGCATTTCTCAAAGTGCTGGGCAAGATAGTGAAAGGCCTCATTTCAGCCCTGATCCCATTCTGGTAGGGGGATCTCTGTGAGTTCCTGGCCAGCCTGGTCTACAAAGTGAGTTCCAGGACAGCCAAGGCTACACAGAGAAAGAAACCCTGTCTCGTAATAACAAAAACAACCCCCCATCCCCCGCAAAAGAAACAATTACACAACCCTGAGGCTGGGGATGTAGCTCACTTAGTGAAATGCTTGCTGAGCATAAATAAGGTCCTATGCTCCACCTCCAGCAAGACGTAAACTGGTGATGGCACATCCCCGCCAGTCACTGATGGAGGATCACAAGTTCAAGGTCATCCTTGAAAAGTGAGTTCTAGGGCTAAAGAGATGGCTCAGAGGTTAAGAACACTCACTGTTCTTCCAAAGGTCCTCAGTTCAAGTCCCAGCAACCACATGGTGGCTCACAACCATCTATAGTAAGATCTGGTGTACAGGCAGAATGTTGTATAAATAATAAAATCTTAAATAAAAAAAAAAAAAAGAAAAGTGAGTTCTAGATTGTGCTGGGCTACAAGGGTCCATCTCAAAAACAAAAAGTAAGGGGGCTGGAGAGCTGGCTCAGAGTTTAAGAGCACTGTCTGCTCTTCCAGAGGTCCTGAGTTCAACTCCTAGCAACCACGTGGTGGCTCCAAACCACCTAGAATGAGATCTGGTGCCCTCTTCTGGCCTGTAGGTGTACATGCAGATACAGCACTCATAATTAAAAAAGAAGAGAGAAAAAGAAAGCAAACTAGACTATTTACAAAATAAAATCAAACAGAGCCAGGCATGGTGGCACACACCTTTAATCCCTTTAATCCCAGCCCTTGAGAGGCTGTAAATCTGAGGCCAGCCTGTCCAGGACAGCCGAGGCTACAAAGTGAGATCCCGTCTCATTCAAACAAACACAATCTGGCAAGAGCAAAAAATTTAGGTCAACCTATAACAGTAGAAGACAACCACACCGTGGGGTGGGAAGGTCAGAGGGTAAGAGCGCTCCCCTCTGAGCCTGACGGTCTGAGCTCAGGACCCAGTAGGGGCTACGTGGAAAGGAAGAATCCGCTCCTGAAAGCTGCCCTCTGACCCCCATGTGTACGGTTCCCTGCATGCACCTTCTTTCATGTACACACAATCATCACCAATAAAATAAGAAGTTGAGGGTCTGCAAGTAGCTGGCTAGTGGGTCAAACACAGACTCAGAAAACCCGATGATCTGAGCTTAAATCCCCAGAGCCCACATCAAGGAGGAAGGAGAACACTGAGTGAAACTGTCCTCTGACCTCCACAGGCGTGGCCCCTGCCACTAACAACACTTTAAAGGTTATAAACAAAAAACTTTAAAGCACCAGGAGGCAGAGGGAGGCGGATCTCTGTAAGCTTAAAGCCAGCCTGGTCTACACAGCAAGTTCCAGGACAGCCGGAGTTATATAATAGAGGAACCCCATCTGAAAAAAAATTCTTTAAGGATAAAAGACCTTACCCTCAAAGGACTCAGAAAATAAACTCATATTTCCTGGACCGGAGAGGTGGCTCAGCACTGCTTTTTAAAATTTATTTTGTTACTATGTAGCGTCGGCTGTCCTGGAGCTCACTCTGTATAGACCAGGCTGGCCTCGTTGAGATCTGCCTGCCTCTGCCTCCAGAGCGCTGGGACTAGAGGTGTGCGCCACCGCTGCCCGCATAGTTTACATTTTTACATTTCTACTTCGTATCTTTAAATTATGATTGAATTAGTGTGTATGCTGTATGACTGTGTGTGGGAGCCCTCAGGTCTCCTGGGGCCAGGTTCAAGGGCAGCCATGAGCTGTTAGACAATGGGTGCTGGGAACCAAACACAGGTCCTCTGTAAGAGGACTCAACTCCAGCCTTGTCCTATTAGACCAGGCTGGCCACTAACTCAAAGACCCACTAGCCTCTGCCTTTTTTTTTTTAAAGATTTATTATTTATACAGTACTCTGCCTGCATGTACACCTGCACGCCAGAAGAGGGCACCAGATCCCATTATAGATGGTTGAGGCACCATGTGGTGGCTGGGAATTGAGCTCAAGGACCTCTGGAAGGGCAGCCTGTACTCTTAACCTCTGAGCCATCTCTCCAGCCCCATGTGCATGTTTTCAGTGTTTGCTTTTAAACTTTATTATTTCTCTTTATGTGTCTGTGCGTGTGCCTGCCAGCCGCAGGCCACCTGTGTGCAAGGATAGGAACTGCAGGGTCCCCTGAACCGGAGGTGCCAGCAGCTGTCAGTGCTGGGAAGGGAACCCAGGAGCTGTACAAGAGCAGCTCATACTGCTGAGCTAGCTCTCTGGTCCCTATTTACTGTGTGTGTGTGTGTGTGTGTGTGTGTGTGTGTGTGTGTGTGTGTGTCCTACGTGTGGGTGTTATGTGTGTGTCCATCCCGCTGTCTTCCCCTCACAAGTGCTTCCTGCCTACCTGTGTGTCCCAGCACCACATGTGCACAATGCCCTGAAGGCCAGAGGGAGTCAGATCCTCTAAGACTGGAGTTACAGGCTGTGAGCCGCCCTGTGGAGGCTGGGAACCGAACCTGGGTCCTCCGAAAGAGTAGCCAGCACTCTTAGCCTCTGAGCCATCTTCCCCACCTGCTGGGCGCTTTTCAAAGTGCAGCTGACTACTATGTGAGCTTCCAGGCTCACAGCCCCTTCTATCACCTACTCCAGGGAGCCGCCCATGACCTCCAGTCACTGCATGGAGACACTCCTATCTCTCGCTCCTCCCACTCCTCAAAGAAATGCCATAAAAATTAGCTGGCTGAGTAAGAGGAGGCAGACCTCTTCCTGCCGTTGGGCCTGTAGAAAGCTGCTCTCTGTGACTGGTATGCCTTTCCCTTCCTCCCCCTGATGAAACCACGCGACCTGCAGGCTCAGTAACTCTTATACAGTTTCTATATCTCCCTGGTCTTGGTCCAATACCCCAAGACCACACCCTCTTGGTACCCTATACTTCATCCTAACTTTGTCTTCTCACTTGTTTTCCCTGACAGACCACAGAAGCCCGGAAAATCATTGCTGGGGTTCCTGGCAGAGCAAACAGCGGCACAGGTACTGTATCCATCAATACGGGATGGATACAGCTATCCCCGTGGTTAAGAGGGGGCCTAATAATATGGAGTGACTGGGCTATATCAGAATGACCACAAGAGGGCAGTGCTCCACACCAAACGGTCCACCCTGGGCAGGCCTGTCAGTTCTGAAACACAGCTTTGCCTTTAGTGGAGGGCACGGAGAAGCCACACCCACACACCCCCAGGAGCCCAGCAGTTCTGCAGAAAGAAGCCACAGGTGAAGGCCTGGTACGTACCTAGCATGCCAATGCCCAGCATGAAGGCGTCCATTCCGTAGGGCATGACTCTAGACCTGCCCCGGGCAGACCCCGTCGGGGACATCACCTCCTTTGGCTGAGCTTTCTTGCATTCCACCTGCAATGACGCCTGGTGATCAGCAAATCCTGTCCTACGGCAGGGCTCTTGATCATCATTTTAATTACCCTTTATGGAGCTCTTGCTATGCGTGAACGGCTTCACACACACCTACACACACTGGTCGGTTCATTGAATGTTCGCACAAAACCAGTGGTGAACATGTACTGATTCCTATTTAAAGCTATTATTATTATTACTATCATTTTGAGACAGGGTCTTATTGTGCAGCTCTGGCTAGCTTCCAACTTGCCATATAGACCAGGCTGGCTTTGAACTTGTGACAATCCTCTTGCCCAGAAGCTGCGATCATAGGTGTGTGCTATCATATGGAGCTGGGATTTCCATCTTTTTTTTTTTTTTTTTCTTCAAGACAGGGTTTCTCTGCGTAGCCTTGGCTGTCCTGCAGTAACTCACTTGGTAGACCAGGCTGGCTTCAAACTCACAGAGATCCTTCACTTACAGGCATGTGCCACCACAGCCCAGCAAGGGATTCTCACATAAAAGCAGAAACAGAGGCTCTGAGAGAGACCACCCCAGGCACTCACTTCCTGTTTGCAGGAGACCGGCCTCTGGGAACACCCCACCCCCACCTCCCCGCAGAACCCCAGGGCTTCTCTGACTGCCTCATCCTGGAGTCCCAGTCTCTCTCTGAACCCCAGCCTCCACCCAGTCCCAGCTCACCATTTTGTTGTTGATTTCATGGAAGTGGATTTCACAGACTTTCTCTACGATGTCCTCACTCTCGAACGTGACAAACCCGAACCCTAGAGGTTGAGCAAGGGGCAAGGGTAGGGTCAGAACTGGGGCTCATGGTCATCACCCAGCCTCCACGCCACACCACAGCTCATCTCTTGCGGGCAAGTGTCTGAGAGTTAATGAAGGGCTCTCTGCCCATAGCCTAAGAGCAGCTCAACTACTGGCTGACTCAAGGTTTCAGGTCCCAAATTACAGGTGAGCGAGCAAGGCTCAGAGACATGAATTAACTTCTCCAACGTCACACAGCAAGGTCGAAAGTGGTAGCTCTGTGGCTGGAGGGACAGCTCAGTAGTTAGGAGCTGTCCTAACTTGGTGATCTTCCAGAGGACCTGAGTTCGGTTCCCCACATTACCATCGGGAAGCTCACAACTGCCTGTAACTCCAGCTGTCCTCCCGGGGCACCCACACACATGGTATACATTTACACAGACACATATACGTAAGTAAAAATAAAAAATATATATATTTTTCTCTTTGAGACCAGGTTTCTCTGTGTAGCCTGGCTGTCCTGGAACTCAAGCTGTAGAGCAGGCTGGCCTCAAACTCAGGGATCTGCCTGCGTCTGCCTCCCAAATGCCTGGATTAAGGACTGTGCTGCCAGTGCCTGGCAAATCTTTTATTTTTTATTTTTGGTAGCAGAGCCACCATGAAAATAGCCATCCTTTGGAATCAGAGGACTCAGCTAAGGGTTCTAGGTGCCCGCCCTGACCTCCAAGCCTATGTCTATCCCGTGCTCATGCTCCTCTCACAGGATGGCACGTTTGTAGAGAATCCATGCAGCCCTTTCCATGAACTTCAGATCCTCTCTAGAGTACTTCTCATGCCCAACACAGCGAAAGTGCTCCATAAACCCTATCACGCTCTGTGGTTTGGAGAATAGTGGCAAGAGGAACATCTGTACCTGCTCAGCACAGATGTCACTCAAGCTTGGGGGCTTTTTCTTTCCTTTGGCTGTGCTGCAGGCAGAACGGGGGTCTGGTATCTCTTAGCTCAGTGATCCTCCACTGAGCTATGTTCTCAGCTCTTTAGATATAGTTTTTTTCTGGAGGGTGGTGGTGTCTTTCAAACTGAGGTTGTTTGAACCCAAAAAAAGCAAAATCCACACAAATAGGATGGCCTTACCCCTAACACGCCTCTTATTTCCCTCAGCCCCGTCTCACACTCAAGTGTGCTTGCTCTGGGATACCAGGCACACTCAGAGACACCCCCCCCCGCACAAACGTTACACACGCACAGCCCACACTCCTCAGCCCAAAGAAGATAAAAGCCCTGAAGCCACTGGAAAAACTGCCCCAGCTGCCTTCTTCAGGGAGACCCCCAGGGGCCAGGCGGGGGCTTCTCAGAAGGCAAGACCCTTGGGAGAAAACAACCAGGCAGGGCACATATGCAGCAGAGAGGTCCAGATGCGACCACCAGGTTCAGGGCCAAGGGGGCTATGGGGCCTGGGTTTAGCTTGGCAGTGGCGGCAGTGGCGGAGCAGACCGCCTGAGGCTCTGGAGTCAGCCTCACCCTGGGGCAGCCTGGTTTCTAAGGACAAGGTAAGCCTTGGTGGGAGCAGACGCTGGCCAGGGAGGGGTGCGGGGCACCGTCGGGGTGTCCTAAGCTCCTCTTCAATTGGCAAAGTTTCTCATGCAGGAAAGGGAGGACAAAAGCCCTCTGTGAGGCCAGGCCCTGGAGAGGACGCAGATCCTCAGGGATAGGATGTCAGGAGGCAACATGAAAGAGCAGCTGTGACCTGCAGCCCCCGTGGCTGACCACAGGCCCAGGCCGGCCTGGGGCGGGGGAGGGGCCGCACTCACCTCTGTGCCTGTTGGTGGTCTTGTCGAACATCAGCATGGCATCGTCCACCTGAAACACAAGCCTGCTGCGTTAGACCCACAGACACTGGGGGCTCCCCAAACCTACATCCCTCTGGTCTACTTAAACGCGCTCTCTCCGGGGGGGGGGGGCATCCCAGACTGCGTTGCTCGCGTGGGGTTCTCAACAGGTCACCCTGGGTTTATTAAACTCCAAATGTATGCCTGACACTCTGCCTTTCTGGTCCCAGCATTCCCTGCTCAGAGAGGTGAAGCTGCCACACAGCAAGGCCACACAGCAAGTTCTGCACCAAGCCAGGGAGGAAAAGGCACAGAGTAGACGCCAGAGAAAGGAATATGGGGGAGCAGGCGTGAGGTAGGAAAACGAAAGCCTCTTCCCTTTTTGGAAAAGACCAGCAGCCAGACTCCCTTCTGCTACAGATCTGTTCTCTAATTGAGGTTTCCTTTGGCTAGAGGCTGTAATTAAAGCAAGTAGAGTTCACTGCCTGGGCCGCCTGCCTCGGACCGGGCTGGGGGAGGGGAAGAGGTGAGGGAGGGGGAGGGTCTACATTAGCTACACTCCCCTGAACCCCAGCCCTGGCTCCCTGCTACTCCCTCCAGGCATCCTCCTGGGCTCAGGGGGACAACTAAAGGCAGCCTTGCCTCCTTCCCTCCACCAGCGGCCTGCCTCCTTCTCAGGCTACCTCTGACGCCCTAGTCTGCGCACCCCACGCCAACCACTGACTTCAAATGGCCGAGGGCACTCCTCAGACCAGGAGCCACAGCCTACCCCCACCGTACTCCAGGCCCTGCATCTGTCATGCCTCATTAAAACAGGAAGTGCAGACCCAGAGCTTAGGGTGTTCTCCTTAGGGAACCCGGAAGCTCTTCTTAGGTCTCAATCTAGACCAGGCCCTCTGTTTTCTTTTTTTCCCTGAGGGAGCCAAGCCCACACTCAACTAGGAGGCAGTGGGGTTCCTGGAGAATCTCAGAGGGAAAATGAGAGCTTCCTGCCACAGAATGCCACCTCCCCTCCCAAGCCAACGGCCACGTGCATGTCTCTAACCCCAAATCGGCAGTCTAGTGCATCTCAAGCACTGGAAAACGGAAACCCAGGATCTGATGTGAGCATGGTGTGAGCTGGCATCTTGGATGCTCTGTTTGCTGGCTGGGTGTCCTTGGGTACATGGCTTTAGATTTCTAAAGCCATTTGCTTTGCTACCTCGGTGTGTAAAACGGGTCTAATGGTGAGTATTTCCTACAGGGGTTAAGTATAAGGAGTACACAGACAACTCAACTTCCAGTGCTGGGGTTCAGGGCGCATTCAATACAGCTGTTATTATCTTTATTATGGAGGGCCTTGCCCACGATCCCAGCGGGGGAGGACTCCAAGGTCCCACCGGGACGGCTGCATCAGTTATAATCGCCATCACAATTCTACTGAGCATCTTGACTTGTGCTCAATTAATTATTTTTTGAATGGATGAGTGAATGAACAGAAAAACCAGCCACACCTTCCTCCTTAATCCTACAGCTTGGAGTTTCTTGCCTGACCCACAAACTGATTCAGGTCAAATCCAGTCCTTCCGGTTCTCTTCCACCCAACAGTCCAAAGCCAACATCCCTGGTCCCCAACATCCTTGAAGCTGGGCTTGGCTGGACACGGGGGTGGGGTTGAGGACAGAGTAGGCCACCCGCCCACCAAGGAAAGTGGCTGGGGGTCCAGGGTACCCCAACGGTGATGTCCCCTCCTGGGGCCGGCTGAGGAGAGGGAGGCTCCCAGCCCAGTGTCCTTAATAGGCTTTGGTCTCCATGGGAACCAGGGGGCAGGGGGGCTCTGGAGGGGGGAGGGGAGGCGACCGAGGCCTGCTGACCAGTGGGAGCCGCCAAGTTCGGCGGCGGCTAAGCCTGAGTGGCAGCCATGGCGGCTGACCATTGTTCCCCCCCTTGGTGGCGGCCCCTCGATCCGGGAGGGGGGTCCCCCCAGCCGCGGGGCCCTTGGCATTCCCGGCTGTCCCCCTCGCTCCCTGGCAGCCTATTCTCCAGCTCCCCCTGGCCTCCCCGGGCCGGTTTCACATGCCAACGCCGATTTAGGCCCGAACAAAAGACGCGGCTGCTGACGGCTTCTCCTGGGGCCCGGTTGCCATGGCAACGCCGGCCCCGGGGGCAGGCGGCCTCCAATCACAGCTGCTGGATCAGATTAGTGCGGGCTCTAACGCTCCGTGCTCAGACACAAAGACACCCCGCCGGAGCCGAGCCCGGCCTGCAGCTTCCCAGGAGCGCCCTTCCCTCTGGGGCCCAGGCTCTGCCTGCCCTGCGTCTTGGACCCAGATCTCCAAGGAGGCGCCTGAGCCAAGGCCTCTGGCCCCAACACGTCAGCATCCTCTGGCCTGCGGACCCCCCACCCAGCCACAGCTCACTGCCTAGCTCTACCAAGCCTGGTCCAGCTTGGCCTGCTGGAGAATTCATATGCCATGATGGAGAAAGCAAAGGCCTGTGGCCTATCTCACCTGAAACACTCAAGCAGGGATCCTTCCCTCAGCCCTGCACTTCGGGCAGACCCCTTAGCCGTTTCCCCGTAGAACCTTTAAGTTTACGCTGCTCGCTTTTCTAGGGATACCTTTTTTCTTTTAGTGGTACCTTACAGACTACCCCCTTAAACCTTGACACACCCAAGAGCCTGAGAGCCAGAGAAGACTCCGGGATGTTTTCTTCAGTTCCGACACCTAAGGGGTCAGCAGCCACCCTCAGCTCCCCATCTGTGTAAGCAGCGTGCCCACATGCAGTAAGGATCCTTATTTATTGCCACCTTATCATCGTGCCCAGGAAGGGGTGGGGAAAGAAGGTGCAGCTGCCTGTGCTCCTGGACAGGTGCACACTCCCAAGAGGCCGAGGGGCGGGGGGAGTAGACTGAACTGGCTACAGGAGTACCTCCTCCCTTGGGAGAGTGAAGAGAAGCAGGAGAACAGTACAGAGGAAGGGTAATGAGACTCCGCTGGCTGCTTCCTCTCCGTGGGGAGGCCCAGAGTCTGGGGCCCAAACTGTGACTTGGTCTCTTCTCACCTCACCTGTGGGAGGACCAGGCCCTCCTCCGCCATTTGTGGGAACTGGGAAGACCCGACTGCCACACCCCAACCTGCTTCTTCCTTAGCCCCAGCAACGGCAACACACCCACGGGGAAGACCTACCTTTCCAAACTGTTCAAAATACTGCTTCACATCCTCCACCGTGGTGTTCACCGACAGGCCGCCCACGAAGATCTTCTTAGTTCTCGTGACCATCTGTTAGGGGAAGGAATGAGAGAGTGGGCATCTGAGTCCTGCGGCCTACCGCCACCAGCAGGGGAGTGCGGTGAGGAGACCCCCCACCCCACACCAGGATGGCAGCTGACAGGCTCTCTATGTCCCCAGCTTCTCCAAGACCCCCTTCCCAGGTCCCCCTTGGACTCCTGCCTCTAGGCCTGCCATGGCCAGCTGTGTAACCCACACCCTGGCTGGCTCGGGTGTGTGTCCTTCCCTGGGGAGGAGGGGGTCTGTGTATGGAAACAGCCTTCCCTAAGGAAGAGTGGCGTACCAACGGCCCAGACCCACTGCCTAGCATGAAGACTGACCAGGGCCTCCTGGGAGACACCAAAGCTACCGCAGGGTGTCACCAAACTTAACAGCAACATTTTCCTCATCAGCCTTCCTCCCAAGCCAACCTCTGGCAGCCCTGTGGCCCCAGCCCTGTGTTAGGGAGAACACATGGTCCTAATTACTCCAGGAGCGCATGGCTAATCCGAGGCAATTCCCAGCCCCATCCTAACACTAAGGTACCTTCTGTCACCAAACTGCTTAATGGAATTAACCCAGTTCCGACCATGTGCTCCCTGGTGTGGCTTCCTTCGAATACCTGCTCCATAATTGCTTTCAGACCCTCTGCTGGACCCTCTCCAGGGATGGCCATCTCTTGTCTTCTAAAACTTGTTCCTTTCTCTCTGCCCCGGCAGAGGCTGGCAGTCTTGGCTCAGAATCTCACAGCACCTTAGTTTCCACCAAGGGGGAAACTGAGGCCTTCAGAAGGATCATCCAGGCTTGGGATGACCTCAACAAACTTGGGGGGGGGGGCGTGGCCAGACTCCTCGTCCTGTAACTTGGCCTTTTCTCCCATCCCCGAAAGTCAGTGGCTTAAAAACTAAGATCTGGCCAGTTGCTATGACGCCTGGAATCAAATTTGAGGTCCTTGCCCCCATCACCAATTCTAAGGGCTCCTTCATTCAGAAGTCTCTCAGAGAGCCACAGATGTTCAAGTTAAAACACAACAGGCGGCAGGCTTCCCTTCCGAAAGCCCAACACACCCCAAACCAGAGAAGGAGGGTGATGTGGAGTCAGAGGCAAGCTCCCTCATCCATGTCTAGGACAAGCCCACCCTGCGTTTGCCCCTCTAGGGCTCAACATTCAGAGGCTGGGATCTTCGGGGCCAGAATTACACTCAGGGTCCAGACTGTACTGGCTTCAAGTACAGGACAACATATCGACTTCCTCTAACACAGCCAGGCTATCTGCTGTCCCCCCGAACCCCCAGCATGTGGCTGCAAAGATGCGCAGGGCCTTCATTCTGTGCAACGCAGATATCCCCTCTCCTTACCCCTGCCCGCTCCAGAAACCCTCCACACAGAGGCTCAGGAGCATCTGCCACAGAAGAGAATGCTGGGAAAACTGCTACCCAAAGTTACCCAGGATACAGGCGCTCTCCCAGCAAGCCCTCCCCGCTTGCCCATCCATAGCCTACCTTAGGCTGTGCTCTCCGAGGAAAGGCCACCTTGGGGTCAATCTGCAGGAGAAGGGGCACATAAGGGGACTTGGATTATCACATATAGCCTGGAGTGGCCACACAACCTCTAGCCTTCGTCCCAGGACACAGGAGTAAGAGAAACCACAATAGCTTTGAAAACACAAGTGACTACCCAAGCCACTGGGTTCAAATCCTACACACACTGCTCTCTAGCTGGGAGACTCTGGGCAACTTATTCAACTTCTCAGAGCCTCAAGGTCAAGTTCACCTGCTAAATGGACAACTAATACCTACCCCAAAGGCTCATCGGCAGATTACTTCAGATAACACTCATGGAGCATGTGACGTGGTGTCTAGCTCACAGCAGAAACCCAGAACCCTCTGAGCCAAGTCTTATTTCACCAAGTATCAGATACACCAAAGGCCTGGGCAAACAGACTCCACGTCAGCACCATTACCTACTGACTAGGCGATGAAGGTAATTCTGGCTTTGCAAGCAGAGGTAGTCTTTGCCTGAAAAGGACTAGAAGGTCAGAGTTCAGACCCACCAGAAACAGAAGCAGTACTATTTCCCACCACCTCTAACCTCTGACAGCCCGCCTAGAGGCTGCAAGCAAACAGCTCCTGATAGTACAGCCAGGCTGTGGGTGTGGTGGGGCGTGGTCTGTCGTGGTGTGACAGGGCATGGGGCTTGGACTTAGAGATGCTGGGCTGCAAGCCAAGCTTGTGATCTTAGTAGCCTCACCTGCCTCTCTAAGCCTCAGTTCCCTCATCTGCAAAGTGGGGACACTCACACCCACTCCTGCTGAGGGCAGCTGCGGGGGGGATCAGGTGAGATAAAGGGTGAAAGCGGCCTTTGTGAACGCCCCTTCACTGCACAAACAAAGGTGCCATTAGCAGGCTACCTTTGCCCTTGACGAAATCAGGACGCACCTGGGTACCATTCCCGGGCGCTCTAGCCATGCTGACAGACAGTAAGAAACTGAACACGGCGCCCTGTGACCAACACAGCACCTAGGAGGCTTGGTCATGCCGATTTCTTGCCACTCACACGGATGGACATCATTTAGAGTTACCAGCCAATCACAGACAAGTTCTCTCTTTTCCCCAAAGTTCCTTCTGTTCAAAACTCGGCCTCGTTCTAGACAACCGGCCACGGCTTCTCCCTGCCTGCATGGCATGAACCAGGAAGCAGCCTCTTGCCAGCTCCCCTACTGGAATCTGCCCAGAGACGAATCTCTGAAACCCACACTAGGGCAATGCTCCTCCTCTAGCAAAAGCTCTGTGATCTCCAGGGAGAGTCAAAACCACCCACTGCCCATCTCAGGTTTGGATCTCATACCTCTCTGGATATTCTCATCCTATTTCTCCAGATAGAGTCTTTCAGCCACCTACCGACACACCTCAAACAATCCCCTCACAGACCCTGACGGTGAGACAGTACCTGAGCCACACTCCCCCAGACCCACCTGCACCAAAACCCCAAGACACACACACACACACACCACCTCCACTCTGACTCACAGCTGGTAACATAAATAAAACCCAACAAGTAAACAAAAGGTGAAAGTCAGAACCCAAAATAAACTCCTTCCCGCCCCCTTCCCCAGCCCAGAGATGCTTAACACAGACAAAGCCCTTGTGGTTGGCAGCCTTCTTATCCTAAGGATGCCCACCTCACCATCCTTTTTCCCCTCCTTCCCTCCCTTATCCATCTCGGACTCCTCCAGCCCCCAGCCCCAGCCCCTAAACTCAGCTTCCTGAGAGCAGCAGAAGCCATCGGTGCATTCTGAGGACAGGGGATGGTAGGAGAGCAGGCAGCTTGATGGCAGATAATCGCCAAAAACAATAGGCCACTGTCTCTCCTTTTTCAGCCTGGGTCACTCCGGCTGAGCCAAGAAGATCCTTTCAGAGCAGGCAAAGTCGAGGCCTGGCCTCATTCGCTCATTACTGTGAGCAGGAGTGGGAGCCACTGGCAGAGATAACAGACGCTGGGGACAGACGGTAATTTAACAAATTCTCGGGCACAACCAGCCATTGTTGCAGGTAAACAGGAGCCAGTAACTGGCCCAAGCAAGGAGGCCCAGGACTCGGGAAGAATGGAGGAGTGTAGAGAGAGGTCACACTGTCCCGGCCCCCCTGGCAGACAGACACCCCCTCCATCAAGTCAGCCTTCCTCTGGTTTTCTCCTTTTCCTTCTAGAACCCCTGAGCTGGCCTCCGCCAGCGCCCCCTGCAGGGTCCAAGACACTGGGGAACAGTGGGAAAAAAGCAAAATGTTCCAGGAGTTTGAATGCCAAACAAGCAGGGTCTCCTAAGATCTGGTCTTCGGAAGACTTTTTTTTTTTTTCTTTTCCATGCAAGCTAGCTCCCTGTTCATAAATCCCCTGTAAGGGCAAAGAAAGTGCGTGTCGTCTACAAAAGCAAGGAGCTCGCTGACCAAAGTCCAGGAAGGAGAAACGGAGGGGGACTCTGGGATGCTTTGCCATTGGTCTGGAGTGGAAAAGGGGGTGTCACAGAGTCAGAGAGTAGTTAGATTTCAGAGACGCCACCGTGGGTCACTGCAGCCCTGACTCACTCAGTCTGGGGTAGGAGAGGGACCCAGCTCCACCCAAAGCCTGAAGTATCAGATTAGTACTCCGAGAGGGTAGTCATTGCTGCTTCCCTCACCAATACTTGATGTGTGTGTGTGTGTGTGGGGGGGCATCTTGGCCCTTCCTCCCTCTGCCCCCAACTCTACTGACAAAGTTTCAGAGCATGACAGCTCCTAGTACTCTGAAAACTCCCCCTCTCTCCTCAAGAACTCCATCCAACTGTCCCCACCAGAGAGTCCTGATTCCCTCCTCTCCGGGAGCCTCCCTTTCCCAAAGGACCCCGCCCCACCCCCAAACCCCGAGGGCCACTCACTGTTTTGGAGTCGAGCTCGTGCCGCGATTGAGCCAGCACCTTATCCACCCCCGCCTGGTCCATGAAAGTGACGAAGCCGAAACCCCTGCGCCGCGTAGTGAGGGAGAGGCAGATGGTTACAAGGGCAGCGAGCGGCCACGGCTGAGGGGGCAAGCCGGGCGGCGGGAGGGGGTTCGCAGGCTCACCTGGATCTTTTGGTCAGGGGGTCCCGCATCACCAGACACTCCTTCACCTCCCCGAACTGGCCGAAGTATTCACGCAGCCCTTCTGGAACCACCACACACCCGCCTTCGGACCAGCCCAGGCCCGGAGCCCTTCCCCCTCCTCCCCCGTCCTCTGCCCCCGGTGACCCCGGCGCGGCCCTGCCGTCCCCCGCGCCCAGCCGCCCGCGCGCGCGCTCCTCCGCCGGGGCCCCCACCCCCGCACCCTCCGGGGGTTCCCGGGGAGCGCTCCCGGCGCCCACCGGGGCCTCGGGAAGGCGAGGGCCGGGCCCGGCGGGAGGGGGGGACCGCTCCGGCCGGGTTCCCGCCGCTCCGGGCGCAGCCTCACAAAAGTTTGAGCCGCAGGTGCGAGCGGAGTTGGAGCCGCCGCCGGCGGGTCCCGGGGGCCCAGCCCGCCCCCCTCCCGGTGCCCCCGGAACCCCTCCTCAACTGCTCCCCGACCCACGCCGGGCTGGGCGCGCTCGCCGAGCGTGCCGCGCTCTCGGGGTCCCCGGGGCGGGGCGCGGAAGAGGGCGCGAGGGCGCCCGGGGTCAGCAGGGCGCGGGGCCGGCCGGGGGCGTCCGGGGCCGGGGCGCCG